TGACTTCAATTGTTCTAATTTGACTTCAATTGTACTAATTTGACTTCAATTGTACTTAGTTGACTTCAATTGTACTAATTCAACTTCAATTGTACTAATTCGACTTCAATTGTACTAATTCGACTTCAATTGTACTGATTGGACTTCAATTGTACTAATTCGACTTCAATTGTACTAATTTGACTTCAATTGTATACTACATATGTTATAATATATGTTATATACTACATAATATAATAAATTATAATATACGATATAACATATAGTAGGTAATATAATATAACATATAGTATAAATTACAATTTATTTTAATCTATTGTATAATTTTATGTATATGTATATAATTTGTAAAAAAACAATCGGAAAGTGTCTGCCGGCACAATGGTTCGAGGTGCGCCCAGAGAAACCGGACTCACCCATTGACCCGAGTTCGAGTCCTCAATCTGGGAGTCTCAACCATTTTTTTTTCTATATAAAACGGATTCTGAGAATCCGTTTTATAATGACTTATTTGTAAAACGTATTCTCATAATACGTTTTACATAAAACGTATTCTGAGAATACGAGAATACATATTCAGCTGAATTATTTATAGAACGTATTCTACAAATACGTTTTAAACTGGGAAAAAAAAACTTGGTGATGATCACACGACTTGAACGCATGTTTGTTCTGTTTTTGTGCTTATTTTTATGTGTTTATATGTGTGAATTTGTGTTTCGTTTCATTCACTATGTGGGGACCGTGTCTCGGATTGGATTTTGATTTTGGGATAACTAGATGATAATGAGAGTTTCATTTTGCATGTTGGTTAATCTTGGACCGTTCGATTTATCTCTTCGAGCTATTTGTTATTTTGTTTGCTTGAGGACAAGCAAAAAGCTAAGTGTGGGGGAGTTGTTTGTTATGTTTTTGTGCTTATTTTTATGTGTTTATATGTGTGCTCGAGTCGGTTTTAGGTTCGTTTTGGCGTTGACCGGTCCATTTTGTCGTTTTCCGTGTGTTTTTGTGTTTTCCGTTTCATTTCATAGTTTGGCGTACTTTTCCGTGCTCTTGGTATATTTTCAGGTTTTTCCGAGGATTAAAGCCGAGTCAAACTGAATCCCAAGAGACGAGTAGTTTCAAGCCATTTCGTACGAGTTATTTCCAAACCGAGAAGTGGAACCTTAGTCGAGAGCCCCGTGCGATCCTCACCTGTCCACACTCGCGCGCACGCAGAACCAGCTGCGAGGACGAGAACACCGTGCGAGCCTCGCCCCTTCACACTCGCGCACCCGTGGAGGCAACCGCGACATTGAGAGCGCCGCAATGCTGTTGCCCAACACTACTCGCGAGCTCGCGGCATTACTCGCGATGTCGAGAGTGCTGCGACTGCCGCGTACG